GGCAGGAAGATGGCCATGAATTCAAAGCCAGCCTAAGCTACATAGTTAAGTTCCACCAAGCAACAAACCAACCAGTCACTTCAGCCCAGCACTCAGCAGGAGCAAGCTGCCTTCCAGGGTCCACGCCCACCTTCACAGGTGACAGTTCACCCAGGACAGGTCACATGCCCAGACACACGACTGAGTCAGCATTAGTACTGACCATTAAGGTAGCTATGTCATAATCAACAAGAAATCTGGATAAACACGAAGCAACACGTATCTCCTGCCATGTTTGGTACTGAAGGGTATTTTAGTGATATCGATTATCTTGACCCCAAACCAGTTCTATAATCTGTAGGGACAAAAGCAAACTGAAAGTGTAAGATGCCCCTTATCCAAAACAGTGAAGATTTTCACAACAGTGATGGCAGAGCACAGGGCCACACGGCTGCTCTGTCTCTGCCACTTCAGTAGCCAAACTTCAAGGCTGCAGCTGGACTGTACAGTATGACAGTCAAGATGTCCATGCCAAGGTCCTCTCCCTACAGCAAGAGCTATAATATGAAATGGCCATTGTTACAAGAGCAACATCAAACCAGAGAATCAGCAAGTATGAGCGTTCTTTCTCAGCCTTGAAGTCAAGGGCAGGAAAGACCTGAAGTTTTCTCCCACAAAATCTATTGCAAGATTGTAATTCCGGGCACTGCCAAGCCTCTGATCCCAGTATGTAGGGAGCGGGGGTGGGGTGGTATCATCCAGAGGGTTTGAGGCCAGCCTGGGCTACACAGATGACTTGCAGGCTACAGTGACACCCTGTCTCAAAACAAAAATAAAATCTTTGGATTCCTAAATCGTAATCACAAAGGCCCTTAAGGGTTGCCACCGTCAGAGACAGAACTTTCAATGGAGGCCTTTACCAGAGTTGGCACCTCAGCGCTTGGCCACGCTGAGCCCAGGGACCAAGGTGAAGCTCTTACTTTCGCAGACGGCTCTTTCTCTTTGATGAGTGGAAGTCCGGGGGTTGATGATGATGAACCCTTTCATCATACAGGATTTTAATTCTGTGACGTTCTCTGCACTCATAACTGCACAAGCTGAGAACCACAGTCTCCAGGGAAACCAGCCCCGAGGACTGGGCCCAGAGCCTTCCCCAGGCCTTCCCAGCACTGAGCTATACACCCCAACATCTCTTCTGTATTTTTTCTTCTAATTTTTATTTTGAGACAGAGTCTAACTTGCCCATACTAGCCTTGAACTTGTAATTCTTCTGCCTCAGCTTCCATTATAGGTGTGGGCCACTATGCCTAGTCAAAACTGGCTCCTTTTTGAAATGTCCAGGAAGAGATTTGGGGAGAGACCTAAGATAAGAAGGTCTCTGAGCTGTGTCTAATAGAAAGAGAATTCTATCAGCAGGTATACTGAGATGCTTGGCAATGAATCATTCTCTCTGGGGGCATGTGTCATTATCTCTTTAACTCTTAAATAGTTACTGTGTCATCTAATTAAGAACAATGACTCTTACAAAACCGTGTTCTGTCTGGCTATCCCCCGCCCCACGCTGAGGATGAAACCCAGGGCCTCCCACACAATAGACAAGTGCTGTACCACTGAGCTTTCTTATTTATTTTCAGACAGGCTCTCACTAAATTGCCCAGCCTAGCCTCCAACTCCAGTCTTCCTGCTTCAACCTCCTGGGAGCTGTGGGTTCCTGGTGTAAACCACCACACCTGCCAGGGATTCCTTTTTTTAAAATGGAAAAAAGTGAGTTCTGACTCTTCTCGGGTGCCCATACAACTTAAAATACATATGGCAAGCTGCAAAGGAACACTTAGAACTGTTTAAACAGCAGGCTATGGAGTGTGCCCAGTGTTTACCAACCAGAAGAACCAAAGGTTCTTGACAATTACAGAGTCGATGTTAAGTCATTCAAAAGCAGGCCTTTAACACACCGGATAAGAGGAACAGTAACAATCACGCCCGATTTCAGGAGTAATTGTACATCCTTATCTTATTTGCTAATTGTTAGTATGGAACTCGAGGGCACCAATACCTACTAAAATTGCTGCAGTGCCATTAATGCCATTAATGCCAGGTGGTGGCTCAGCATTCAAGAGGCTACCTCCCAAGTTAGGGGCCAGCCTGGGCTACCTAGTGAACTCCAGGCTAAGCAAAGCAACACAGTGAGACTCTGTCTCAAAAAAAATAATAATAAATAAAAAGGAAAAGGAAAGAAAAACCAAGAAACCCAAACAACAAAATAAGAATATACATATAAGGCAAACGTTCTTAGCCAAGGCACTATTGACATCTGGAGTCATATAAACTCTCTGTTGTGGGTGGGTGGCTACCTTGAACACTGTAGGGCACAGCAGGGACCCTGGCCTCCACCCAACTAGATGCTAACAGCACCCACCTCCCAAGTATAACAACTAAAAATGTCTCCTTGCACTGTCAAATGATCCCCATTGTCTCCAATTGAGAATCGCTGATTTTGAGAGATGGCAATTTTTTTTTTTTTTTTTAAAGAAAAGCACTTCAGAACAGAGAGGGGTCCCAAGGGGTCTGAGCACCAGAGAGTCTTGAACTTTCCACCAGTCGTCCTGGGAAGCTCGTTAAATTCTGATTCGTAGGCCCAGCCCCAGAACCATCAATCTAGACAAGTACTGGGTTTTCCCTCATCACCGCCAACATCCTCACCCTATGGGTACGGTAAAGTGGGCCCCGGAACGTAACTGCTTTGCCCAAGGTCACCGTGGAGTTAGAACCTGGCCTCCGAGGCCAACCAAGGTCTTCCCCAGCACAAGGGTGGGTGAAATAAGGGGTGTGTGTGTATGTGTGTGCGCTGCTCTTCCGCCTTCAAGGCCATAAAGCTTAAAAGGTGCATTCTGAGGCCAGCCAGCCTGAGATAAAAGATCCCGACTTGGTACTCATTAGCCTGGTGGCCTTGCGCAAGGCAAGTAGGCTCCAGGGTCTCTCGGTTTCCTTCCCTGTCAAGTGGAATTACAAGCATTCATTCCTAGCGACATTGGAAAAGGGATCCTGTACCAAAAGCCCTCGGCATAGGGCCCGGTCTACAGGAATCGCTCGATGCGGGTCCTAGCGGGACCCGCCAAGCTCAAGGGTCGAGCGGGGGTCGGGAGGGGAACCGACCCCGGCTCCGCGCCGCGCACCTCACCTGGTCCCGCAGCTCCTTCTCCAGCTGCCGGTAGTCGTTGTTCCAGACCAGGAGGTGCAGCGGGAAGCGGCCGCTGGCGTCGCGGGCCGAGGACATGGCGAGGAGGCCGAGGCCCGGGCCTGACCGCCCGCCCGCCTGCCTGCCTGCCTGCCTGCCACCAGCCTCGACCCGATGGGGTCTCGGGGGGCCCGCTCGACTGGCCGGAGAGCGAGGGGAGGAGAGCGGCGAGCGGGCGAGTACGGGGCGCGGCGGGCGGCGCGGGCCTCCGAGGCCGGAGCGGGCGGCGCTGGAGGCCCCGGGGTCGCGGGCCGGGCTAGGGACCGGCTCGGGGACCCGCTCGGCCGCGCCCACCCCGCGCCCCGCGCACTCGCGCCCGCGCTGACAGCTCGCGCACCGACTGCTGCGGCCCGAACCGCCCCGAACAGGGAAGTGCGCGGGCCGTGCCACCGAGCGCCGCGGCGAGGGGGGGGGACGCGGCCCCGCGACCGACCCGAGCCCCGCTCCGTTTCGTCCCGCCGCACCCCCCACGCCGGGACACACGACGATCGGAGTTATGTGGAACCGCGGGAACCCCGCCGGGAAGCCAGAGAGCCCCACGCGAAAATTTCAGGATGCGCGCTCCCCCCGACGCCCTCCCCCCCCCGCCCCAGCCCTCCCCAGTGGTTCGCTCCACAACTGGGCCCCTTCCATTGGCTCCGCAGCCCGGGGGGGGGGGGGGTGCGAGCGGAGGCCTGGAGCAAACCATCTGGCTGGTGCCTTCCACGATGGGTCAGAAGCCATTTTGGAAGTGGGCAACACGAAATCGGTTTTTTTCACGGAAGAACTGTACCCTGGAGAGGTGGCCCCGGTTACCCTCATGATAACGGGGTGGTTGTGTCTCTGGGCTAATACACTTTGAATCTGAACCGGGTGGTTCTCTGTGGGGAGGTTATCCGATGCTTTGTAGGAGGGTGAGCGCTGCCTATTCGATGCCATCAGCACTCTCCCCAAAACTGTCTCCAGACGTTGGCAGTTATCCCCTGGAGGAGAACAATCGCCCAGTTGAAAACCACTATTTTTGTCTGGATTCCCAAACTCGGCTCTAACTCAAAGTACTTACCGTGAGGGTTTATCCCGCATCAGTCTCATTAACCTAGCCATTCAGATTTAGTGGCCCAAAGGACTTAGAGAGTATCCAGGTGGGCCCATAATATGCACAAGTAAAATTCATCCTCTGGGTTGCGACTCCCAGGCTCTGTATCTTCTTGACACCACGAAGAACCACGTGTTGTGTCTGCCCAGATGTTCACAACTGCCACGACGAAGTAGTCCAGTGCAACACGCAAGCATTCCCTCTTCAAGCCTCCTGGCTTTTGACATACATCCAGCTTTTCAGATGAGCGCAAGGGCCGGTCAAGGGTTCTCACCGACCTAGTCCATTTTCCTCGGGGGTGGCGTCCTTGACGACTGAGGGGAGCTAAGACGGGATTCGTAACATCAAGATGGTACCTAAAATCTTTAATGGAGGAGTGTGGTAAACCATCAAACATCACGCTGGAGAGATGGACATGACCCGTGCTTCTGGGAATGACTAAAGGAACTTAGCTGTTGTCCCCGGGAGATTATATGTTTAGAGTTTTTGTCGCAAAGGTTTGCTTCTTCCTCTGGCACTCATGAGTACTGGCTCGAGGAATCACTTCCCGAAAGGCAGAGCCCGAACGCCAGAGTATTTAGAGACAAGGTAAAGGATGCTCAGGCAGACCTCTGCCCTCATTCAACATGGCGATAAGGAAGCGTGCCCTTTCCGGTCACATGACCCCCCGCCGGGCTCCGCAGGACGTCTCCCCCCGCGCATGCGCAGTGTGCCGGGGCTGCTAAGGCGCTGAGGGGGAGAGGCGCCGCCAGCGCCGCCCGGGGACCCGTTAGAGCGGAAGCGCAGCCGCCGCCTCTGCCGTCGCGGGGTTCCCGGCAGGTGAAGCGGGAGCCATGTCGAAGCGGCTCCGGAGCAGCGACGTGTGCGCCGACTGCAGCGGGCCGGGTGAGTGACGCCGGCGGGGCCCGCTCGCCGCGCTCTCGGGGGCCGGGACCCCTGGCGGGGCGGTCCCCCGCGGGGCGGGAGGGTGACTGCGGCCCAGCCACGCCGACCACCCCCCCACACACACACCCCGGGCCGCCGGGGCGCGAGCCGCTCCCGGGCCTGTCAGCCCTGCGGCCCGGCCGAGGACCGAGGCGACGGGCCCCGGGACGGGACCGGACCGGACCGGACGGGGCGGGAAGAGCTCGGCAGCCCCGGAAAGCCGGTGACAGGAGTCGGACGCGGGCGGCCCGAGGCTGCAGGTGTTTCCCCTTCCCGGTCCCCCCCCCCCCCGCCCCGCCCCGCCCGTGCGTGTGCGCGACCGCTCGGCTGCGCTGCCCGCCGGGGCCCCGAGTGGAGGATCGCCCTGCGCCCGGCAGCCGCTCCCGGGGGCGGGGAGGTTGACAGCCCTACCTAGCTCGAGGGGGGTCTCAAGTTTGAGGATCTAAGTTCCCACCGGATTGCGCTGCTTCTGCGTGACCTTGGACTGATGACTTCACTTGCTCAAACCTTGATTTCCTCGTCTCCCTCCCCCCACCCCCCCATGGAAACTTTCGCCAGACCAGTGCGCCGTGGTCAATGGAGAGTCTCTAGGGATCGTCTCTTTTGTATGGTGTGGCTCAGTTCAAAACCCTCCTAGTTCCTTCAGCTAAAGTTTGGCTTCAGAGTCGTAACAAACACACACACAGTCTCTGGCGGCGTAACTCCGGGACATCGAAAGGCCCAAACCGTTCTTACTGTAGCTAGTATTTGGATTTGAAGATTGGATCTCGTTTAGTAACTGAAACAGTAAATAGACAGGTCTCGATTCAGACTTCTTTTTTTGTCCTTGTTTTGGTTCTTGGACTGGATTAACTTCGAGTTTGCAGCCGCTTAACACGTTAGATGACTTTCCTGGTCCAGCAGTGTTCGGTAAACAATCTTAATGAAGTCGTTGAACACCAGCAGCTTGCAACTGTCCTCTTCATCTTGTCATCTAGAAGCAGAGGCCTGATTTTAAACGGTGACGTGGTAACCCTTATTTATTTCATGGCCCTCGGTACTGCGAGCTAACAGTTCAGGTGGAAGATGAGAGGCAGGGAGGGTTTTTAATCTTTATACTGTGAGCCAGGTTCATACATACTGTCATTTTCTCTCAAAATGTCGTTTGTTCCGCTTCCTCCTTTTCTTGCCTGTTTTCCGTTGATTCATGTGTGTCTAACTTATAACTTCCTCTTGGGATGCACGTTCCTTACCTCTCCAGAGGAAGGTACATGGCAAAGGCAGATTGCCTCCCCTTGCCACCCTGAGTACCGTCTTGTCCGTTTGTGGCGTTTCAGGACCTTTTCTGTTGTTTCATATTAGCTGTCTTGAATGCCAAAATCTAGAAGGGCTTGAGTCACTTCCTTCCTGTTTTGAATATAATGAGGCTACCTTGAAGAGTGAACGAGCAACTAGGAATCTGTACTGCCTTTTGAGCTCAGCTCAGGTGAAGGGTTACCTGTAAGAATAGGGCTCCTTTGACATCCTAATGATAAGGCCATCTCAAAAGATGCTCAGATACTTAACTCTCCTGAACAAAATTTGCATAAGATGGGTGGGGGGGGGCGGCACAGATACTTTTGAAGTCCATTTGTGGTGTTCATGGAGCCTTAAAAAACCCTGCCTTCCAGATAAACTGGAAGGGCTTCACCCAGCCTCATTCATAAAAGCTTGATTTTCATTTTCTATGTTGTCAAGTATTCTTTCCTTGGGATTCTGATCCATGGTGTTTAAGTGATTAATCGAGACCATTGCTTACTACATCTTAAACCATTGCTCTCTTTTTCCTGGCTGATTTGTCCAGGAGTACTGTGAACCTCTGATAATGAGAAGCGGAGCCACATCCAGTCTTAGTACTGACAGATGGATGCAGGAAGCAGTGTTGCCGCAGTCTGTGCAGAGTCCTCATGCTTCCCACTCCCCTCCGTAGCACAGCCCAGCGGCACCTATGGTTAAGCTTGTTGGCTCCTTTTCTGTTTTGTTTTAGAGAAGACACTTCACTATGATTAAGTCTTGTTTACCTTTCTGGTGCTGGGGCTCAAAGCCAGGACCTCACAATTGCTGCGAGAGCCACACATCCAGCCCTGATTTCTTGTTTGTTTTTAAGGAACCTAGTTCATTTAAAATGCATCATTCCTGTGCCCCCATGACAGACACTTTATTTACTCTTTACATTGTCCCTCCCCTCTCACACTGGGAGGACACTCAAAGAAGTAACTTGCCTCAGATTATTGCACAAGAAGTGTGGCAGAGTTGGGGTTCAAACCGTGGACTGTTTGTCTCCATAACCAACCCTCTTAACCACTGTATTCTCTGGCTCCCAGGAATTGTCTTTGATTGAAATCCCATAACTTTTCATTATATGGTTTGAAAGGGTTAGAGTAAACTGTTTAAAATGGTAAAGATGATATACATGCATTTTAGAGATTTTTGTGGACATTGAAGAATTTTTAAATATAACCCTTAGGCTAGGCAGCTGGCATAGCACCTATTGTCACTCTGCTGTGAGTCTGATGGAATGGGAAAGGCCTGTTTTTATTGGGGGTTTCTAAAGCTCAGGTTACTTACCCAGATCCATCCTGTCCACCTAGTGTAAATTATTCCTCTTATGAAAGGTTGTCTGATGAAGTTCTGTGGATTTCAAAGGAAAAAATTATAGTACCCAACAAGAAATACTGTTCCATTGGTTTGTCTTTATCTCTGTGAGGCCCTTCCTTCAAGTCAGCTGCAAGACTGGGTCCAGCAGGTTGTCTAAAACAACTGGTGTTGGCCTTAGAGCATCGCCTTAGCAGAGTGGCCACCCTCTTTCCTGCCCTCAGAATTGCTGAGTGCTTCTGCAGTTCTCTTCTGGCTTTCTGTTAGCATGTGGGGCTTGACTTCCTGCACTGGGCAGCAATGAGTTCACTGTTTATCTTAGATACTGTTACTCGGATAATTCACTGTCGAGATTATTTAGTCTTACTTACAGAGATGGACTCAAAATGATTCATCGAGCTGAGGGAAGATGGAGCTCAATGGTAGAGTGCTTGCCTAGCGTGGACAAGGCCCCAGGTTCAGTCCCTACCTCTGCAAGAAAGAAAACAGGAGAATGATCCGCCCCTGCTCGCTCCTTCAGTCTGCTTCTTTAACGTTCTGTGAGAGTTGTGTCTATGGTGGTCGACCCACATTCAGGCTGCAGACTGTGGCCTGACAGGAAGGTAGCTGATGTGTAAGGCTGTGAGTCTTAGTTAACATTGTGCCTACTCCGTCATTTGGACAGGATTCTCAGGCTGGTCCATCCGATTCTTTGTTGAGGATGTCCTGTTGTTTTCTTAAAAACCAAACATCAGCCATCTTTCACCATCATGTATATAGTAACCAATTAGTGTCCTTGCCACTGAGGTGTCGTTCTTCTTCCAGATCCTTCCTGGGCATCAGTAAATAGGGGAACTTTTATATGTGACGAGTGTTGCAGTGTTCATCGGAGTCTAGGGCGCCATATCTCCCAAGTAAGGCATCTTAAACACACACCATGGCCTCCAACATTGCTTCAGGTAAATGATAAGAAAAATTTTCATAATTGGAAATTTGTGGTTTAGAGATTGTTATCTTATCAACTAAAAGATCTCCTAATTTACATCTTAAATCTTATAAAAATGTTTGGATCATAATTGGATAAAGTGTTATTATGTATAATATAAAGTATTGTCCTGTATTGAAATAGTTATCTATTCTTTCTTTGCTCACCTAACATAATTTTGTTCCCCTAAATGGAGTTATACCTAGACAGATGTATCAATAGACTGTATCAATAGAAATCTAAATTTCTCAGTTAGTTTTTCACTGCTGACTTTCTAGATTGTCAAAAGAAATTGTTTTGTTTTATTTGAGACGAGAGTCTCACTATGTAGCCCTGGCTGGTCTTGAACTCACAGACATCCTTCTGCCTTTGCTTCCTAAGTGCTAGGATTAAAGATATGCACCACCATGCCCAATTTCAGAAATTATTTTTTAATTTCTTTTTAATGCATTGGTGTTTTGCCTGCATGTGTGTTTGTATGAGGGTGTTGGGATCCCCTAAAACTGGAGTTACAGCAGTTATCTGCTATGAGTGCTGGGAATTGAACCCGGGTCCTCTGGAAGAACAGCCAGTGCTCTTAACCACTGAGCCATCTCTCCAGCCCCCAGAAATTATTTTTTTTAAACCTTTTTTAGATTTATTTATTTTTATATGTATAAGTATTTTTCCTGCGTGTATGTATATGGCCACAGAGGCCAGAAGAGGGCATGGGATCTCCTGAAACTGAATTTACAAATGGTTGTGAACCACCATGTGGGTGCTGGGACTCAAACCCAGGTCTTCTGTAAGAGCAGCCAGTGCTTGGTTAGAACACTGAGCCATCCCTCCAGCCCCTGGAAATTATTTTTCAAAAGTCTATCTATCATATATAGTGTGATGAATGATCCTAAAAGCCACTACTGAGAAACTTTTCATTAACATTCGATTCCTGAGTACCTGCTCACATTTTTAGACCATTTTTTCTTGCTTTGATAAAAGCATAGACTGGGATTCCTCAGAAATGTCTTCAACATCTGAAGTTTTTTTAAAGCCCTCACTGTCAGGCAGAGACTAAGCGAGCATGTTTTGATTGAACGCCTAACACTTGTCGGGGTCTTTGTCTTATTTGGGATCTGAGGTCATGTTCCTTGTACTTCTATTTGGGGTGCACATTCTTCATTCTTCTGAAACTCAGGATTAATTGTGCACTGTAGACGGAGTTTTTCGTCGGAACATTTTTTCAGTGTACAGAAGGAATATTCCACAACAATACATTTTGTGATTTTTGTCTGAATACACATCTCACTAAATCTGCAACAGCTGGACACGGTGCCCCTTAAACTCGAATGAGCCAAGGTACCACAGCAAGTGCTTTGTGTCGCTGATAATTGAGCTGCCCAAACAGATGGGCCTTCCTAGGAGTCCTGTTTGGAAATGAAGTTGAGATGTTTGTCTACTTAAGCCAGGCAGTGGTGGCACATGCCTTTAATCCAAGCACTCAGGAAGTGAGTTTCAGGACAGCCAGGGCTACACAGAGAAACCCTGTCTCCAAAAAACAAAACAACCAAACAAAAAAGTTCGCCTTAGAAGTTTCCAAAGGCCCATTCTCACATGAAAGGAGTGTGCTGCTCCTAGGTCTGTCTTTGTTTACCGTTTTAGAGTTTACAAATAGTCCAGAGATGAGTAAGTGAAATTGCCAGGGTTGACACTAAGGCATCAGATTCTAAAGGATGGAACATGATGGGACGTGTGAGAGAGATAGCATTCAAATATTTGTTTATTACATTACTTTATTTAAGCATTTATAACTAACAGTTATTAATAAAATATTTTTAAATAGGTGGATCTAATGAAAAGTATTAAGTGAATAGTGTGTATGTGGGTAAAATAGCGTTTGTTCAGGCAGGGAAATGCCACCTTAAAGCACCAGTCAGTTTTCCTTCAGTTTGTAAGTATGTGCAGTCAAGCTGGATTTGGCTATCTTACAAGCAAAGCCGAATCATACCTCGAGCTCCTAGGTCTCCCTTTACAATCAGAAATAGTAATGGAGTAGTACACAGACGTGGTAGTGTTTTAATGGAGTGTTGGTTTTTTTCCATGTTTTTTACTGATTCTTTTTGAATATTTAAGGAAATAAAATATCATTTCATACTGTTTGGTTTCAGATGGTTGAGACCTTGTATAACAATGGTGCTAATTCTATATGGGAGCATTCTCTGCTGGACCCCGCATCTATTATGAGTGGACGACGGAAAGCTAGTCCGCAGGATAAAGTGCAGTGAGTGGAATGTTTCTAACTCCTTCTGTTTCTTTACAACAAACGGCCCAATTGGAAGGGATGTGGCTGTTTTGATCGGCCTTGTGCCCGGGCATTTTCTGTTAGAAAGGCAGAGTGAGGCAGGAGGCCATTGCTTGCTTGGTCACCCAACTGAACTTAATCCTTTCTCCAGTTGGAGACCGGAGCTTGGCAAGTAGGTGGGATCAGAACTAGTGGCAGTCAGACCAGAAACCTGGCTTCTGGCAGCATTCTGCCCAGTGCCTCACCTAGAATGAGGACTAAATGCTGCTTCCTGCTGGGGTTCCATCAGTTAAGGAAGTTGGAAAGGGAAGAAGGATGCTATAAAGAGTGGTGTTCTGTAATGTGTTACAGACCAGGTCTTCAGCACTGCCGAAATGTAGTCTCAAGTTGGGGGTGTGGCCACTTCCTCTTCTTACGATACAAAGAGTGAGAGCTGTGTCTGAACTGCAAGTGAACTATTTTCTCTTTTGTTTCCAAACCAGCCCCAATAAAGCAGAGTTCATCAGAGCCAAGTATCAGATGTTAGCGTTTGTCCACCGATTGCCCTGCCGTGACGACGACAGTGTGACTGCCAAAGACCTTAGTAAGGTGGGCTCACTCTTCACAGTCCCAGGAGCCTGCTGGCAGTGGGCTGCTTCCCTAGGAGGAAGGAACGGACCTCTCCCGAACCTTCAACTGACCGCTTTCTGTTGCAGTTGTCTCTTAAATGGCAGTCACTCCTCCTCTTGGACGTGCTAGACAAACAGGAAAAAGAAGTGTCTCAGAAACAGTCCTTTTCCTTTTTTTAAGAGTTTTAATTGATTTGTGCTTTTCAGTATAGTTTTCACATACATATTTTGGTAAGTTCTGTACTTGGAAATAACAGCCATTTCAAAGGAGTGTTTCCCAGGGCCTGGGAAGTTTTCAGGATGCTTGTTTCTAGGGGACTAGCACAGCAGAGGGAGGAGTGCGGGGACGGGATCTAGAGGGCAGAGTTTGACCAGAGCTGCTGCACACATGGTCTGTTATGCTGGTGAGCTGGCGCTTTCTCTGGGGGCCTTGAGTGTCCGGGAGATGCTGTAGAAATGCACGTCTTAGCTCTTGGAGCAGTGCTTTGAACTGGATGCTCACTCAACAGAGCATGTGCCCAATTCAGAACACTAATTTTACATATATACATAGATATGTTTTCTACTAATTAGTAAGACTTAAATAGTTTCTCTCCTTTTTTACCAAATAAAAAATATAGCCAGGTATGGTGGCATGCATCTTTAATCCTTGGCTTTTGGGAGGCAGAGGCAGGGAGATAGCTGTGAATTCAAGGCCAGCCTGGTCTATATAGTGAATTCCAGCCAGCCAGGACTACGTAGAAAGACCTTGTGTAAAAGTGTGTGTACGTGTTTAAAATAATAATAATAATAGTAATAATAATACAACGTGGGGCTGGAGAGATAGATCACCAATTAAGAGTGAGTGCATAGTGTTCCTGCAGATGACCCATATCAAATGACTCACAACCACCTGTAACTCTAGCTCCAGGGGATCTGACACCCTCTTCTGGCCTCTGTGGGCACCTGCGTTCAATCAGTGTGCACATGCATACACACATATAATTAAAAATAAAAACAAAAACAAAAAGGGCTACAGTGGGTTTCTCTGTTCCTGTGGTACCAATCACTGTATCTGGAACAGTTCTAGATTAAACTTGAAGGAAAGCTTTTCTGTGATAATAAGGATTTGGTGTAGCACAGGCCTGTTGTGGATAGATGAAAGCTTCGTGTGGATAGATGAACAATGCAGATTGATAGTGGATGGTGTAAGGCCGGTGTACAGCTTATGCAGTGGGCAGCTGGAGATAGCAGTACCCATGGCAGCAGCTAATAATTACTAGTGTAGCAGCGTCTGAGTTTTGAAACATTTCCTGTATCATTGAATCCTCATAATAACCCCATTGGCAGATGGCACCATAGTACCCAGGTTCCACTGCCCAAGGAGTTTTTCTCAGATCACACAGCTGGAAGGCAATGGGCCTTGAAATCCTTTCCACCCAACCTCAGTCTCCTCTTCTCGTGCTTCCCACTCAGGTCATAGTTGTGCCCCTACCTGGCAGGCCCCACATCTGGGTAGACTGGCCTTTGCAGTTCTAGCTCCTTATGGATAAAAAGTGCAAGACCCACTCAGCCTGCAGCCATTGTGTCAGCAGATACTCCCGTCTTCCTGAGCCAAATAAAGATCTGTTTCTAGTGGAGCATGTCAGCTGCTCCAGTGTGTCACCCTAACACTTCTCACAGCTACCCTTTCTTGTCTCTTTTTCAGCAACTCCACTCAAGTGTGCGAACAGGGAACCTGGAGACCTGTCTGAGATTGCTGTCTCTAGGAGCCCAAGCCAACTTCTTCCATCCTGTACGGAGACCTCAGTTGGTTCAGATATTAGATTGAAAATGAGTTGGACTGGAATAGGCTGTTTACTTAGTTTGATTTTTTTTTTGTCTACTTTTATTAATAATTCTTAGGAAAAAGGAAGCACTCCACTCCACGTCGCCTCCAAAGCAGGACAGATTTTACAGGCTGAATTATTGGCAGTGTACGGAGCTGACCCAGGCACGCAGGATTCCAGCGGGAAGACTCCTGTTGATTATGCAAGGTGAGGGGCTGAAGGGCTGGCTTTGCCTGTGAGCTGAGTATGATTCCTTGTTAAGTGACTGAATTGTGTATGGCTTGTGTTCAGTCCCTTTAGAGATTTATATTCTATAATAATAGATTTTTTTTGTTGAAAGAATGTTTGTTGATGAAGATGTTTCAACATCAGCTGAGACAGGCAAGATCAGGAATCTAGAACCATAAACTGGGGTGTTTAACTTCCAGTCTTTATAACAAATGGTGTTCAAGCCATAGCATACAAATCAGGTATCAAGAATGTTGGGGTGGCTGGAGAATACACTCAGTGGTTAAGATCACTGGCTGCTCTTGCAGAGGACTGGGACTCAGGGTTCAGTTTCCAGCACCACGTGGTACCTCATCTGTAACTCTAGTTCTATGGGTTCCAACACCCTCTTTTGGCCTCCAAGGGCACCAGGCACACATGAAATGCACTTACATGAAAGCAGAACATTATACACATAAAAATAAATAAATCTTAGTTGTAAAAATTCAATAAAAGAATTAGAGAGGAGGCTAGGGAAATGGATCACTGAGTGACGTGCTCGCCTGTAAGCCTGGGGAATGAAATAGGGCTAGAAGCACCACAGGGCTGGAGCACTGGTCTAGCATGCGTGGACAAGTTCAGTCCCTGGCATTGGGGGCAAATACAGTACCCACTCTTCAAGCTTTTAATGCATCTTTAAATTTTTCCTGGTGTGGTTTTGTTTTGTTTGGGGGCCCAGGCTGATCTTGAACTTCTGAATTTACACAAACTTCTTACTGTGTGCCCCTGAGTAACTGGGGCTGCAGGCACACCACCACACCCTGCTGCAGCTGAAATGCTGGAGCGTGGAGGATCTCCACAGGGTTAAATATAAACCTGCGGATGTGGGTGATGGAAGATAGCTAGCTTTCCTTCTCTTTCCAGATCTATTTTATTAACTATGAAGCAGCATGTTCTGCTTCACGAAGAATTAAATGGGAAATGACAAACTCTGTCCCAGAAATCTAGCCTTACTTCTCTGGAAGAGAGGACTAATGAGTGCCTGAAGGAATGGAGGCAAGATGATAAATGAATCGTTGATAAATGGACAGTTAGCCATGTGGTGTTTCGTTTTGTTTTGTTTTCCTTTGAGACAGGGTCTGACTCTAACCCAGGCTGGCCTTGAATTCCCAGAAATATTCCTGCAGGTGCTCTCCTCTCTCCCCCATGCTATGATTATAGGTGTGAACTGCCGCGCACTGTTGCCAGTTGGTCTTAAAGAGTCCGTGTGGCTCGAAGGTAAAAGCCCTGTCGTACAGCCCTGAAAACCTGAGTGTGGTCCCCAGAACCCACATGCAGAATCAGGTGTGGTTCATACGTCCGTAATCCCAGCACCCACAGCAAGATGGGAAGCAGAGAGGAGAGTCATAAAGCTTGTGAGCCAGCCGTCCTGGTGTGTACAGTGTGGCAAAAACCAGAGAGACCCTGCCTAATAAGACAGAAGGCAAGAACGCACTACCCAAAGTCCCCTGAACCACACACATGCCATGGAATCCACAACAAATTCAAAGCCTATGTACGGGGCTGTGGAGATGGCCACTGATTAAAGCTCTTGCCATGCAAGCCTAAAGACCAGAGCTCCCACAGACGGACGCCTTGTGAGCGTGGTGGTCCTCCTGTATTCCAGCAGTAGACGGCAGAGACAAGGGTCCTGTGGCTAGCTGACTAGCAAGACTAGCTGTGTCATCAAGTTCTGGGTTCACTCAAGACTCTGCCTCCCTGATAAGGTGGAGAGCAGTCATGGAAGATTCCTGATGTAGGCTTTGAATATCCATATACATGTGCGCACACACACACACACACACACACACACACACACACACACACACGGGCCCACATACGTGCAAACATGTGTTTCATACACACCACACACACTGACATGTAACAGAAAGTGAGCTTATGTAAAGTTTCTTCATTGTGGCCCCAGTGATCTTTGAGGAGTGGGTTGATTTGGACCTATGAAGGAGGAACTAAAACATCCTCGAGAGGAAAGACAGTCAAGGGTGGGAGGTGGAGATGGGCCTGGAGAAGCTGAGGGGGTGGGGTGGTGAGAGGAATGCAGTGTTTGATCAGCTCTGCTGGACCACACTGCTCTATTTCAGCTAGCACAGAGCGACCTCCGCCAGATGCACCACCGCAGACCAGCACCACGGGGCAGTTCATGATTTCACAAACAGTTACCGGCTAAGAAAACAGGGCGTCTATTAGATTCCAATATGTGTAGCAGGTCAGGAAGTATGTGGAGAGAGAAACTGGCTGAAGCTAGATTTCATCTTTGAGGATAACAGAATCCAAAGTAAACGCTTTTTTCACTTTGGAATCTCTCGTGTACTTTACATATAATAGTGTCAATGTAAAAGTTTACTAATATGCTAAAAGGATTCCAAGCAGCCTAAATATTTTATGAATAAAGAACGGCAAACACTGTTTCATGTTGTGGAAATGGCAGAAGCAGAGGCAGAAGCAGCTGCAGGGATGAGTTCTGCATTGGGTTAATCTGCCTTGAAGCCCTTGAAGTGACTTCTGCCCTTAGGCTCTGACCCAAGGCCAGCTGGCCACAGGCATCAGGATCATGTGGAAGAAGGGTCTTCCTTCTTCGGAACGTTGGCCTGGGCCGTCCTGTCCTTACTGATCAGAGTTCCCAAGGCTGGATATTTCTGGGAACACTCTAGTTGACTTTTGAGAACCTCTTCTGTTTATTAGTTTGATTTTTTCCACCTCATTGAGTCTTCACCCATTTGTAAAGGGAAGAGGGGTGTCTGGGTAGGGGCGCTGGCTCCTGGAGGAGACACTGAAAGTGATGAGTCAGCCGTGCACGGCCTTCCCGAGAGTCTGGTTGATAAGCTGCTCAGGTGTCTCAGGACGGCCTGTGCTCTTCTGACTCAGTGCCGGCGCGCTGGGCTGTGTCAATGGTACTTTGTCTTCTTTGTAGGCAAGGAGGGCACCATGAGCTGGCGGAGCGCCTCGTGGAGATACAGTACGAGCTGACTGACAGACTGGCCTTCTACCTCTGCGGCAGGAAACCAGGTGAGGGAGAGGAGAGCAGCCTTGCTACACCTTGAATCTGGAAAAACAGGTCCGGTCAGCATTTTTATGATTTCCTCTGCTTTAAACTAGCCTCAAGAAGATTGCCGTAGGGGTTCTGTTTGGAAGGGTAACATAACTGCAGAATCTTTGTTTTTGTTTTGCTTTTTAGATAGGGTCTCACAGTGTATCCCACCTTGGCCTGGTACTTAGCTGTGTACCTTCAGCTGGTCTTAACTGTTTTTTAAATAAATTTTTTTTGAGATAATATAATTACATCATCTCCCCCTTCTGTTTCCTCCCTCTGGTCCCTCCCATGTTCCCCTCACCTTGCTCTCCTTTGAATTCATGGCCTCTTTTTTTCTTTAATTGTTGTTGTTGGTGGTGTGTGTGTGTGCGCATGCGCGTGCGCATTATATATTCCTAAGTGCATGTATACAGTTTGTGTTATGTTACTTGTATGTGTATTTGCATGGTTGGGCATTTAGCAGTGGTTATAACTGAAGTGTTCCCCTGGGGAAGACTGTTTGTTCTGCCCTCAGCAGTCCGGTTTCCTGTCATTCTCTGTGGAGGATTGAGCCTCATGAGCTTCCCCTTCTGTGTTAGCATGTCTGTTTGGGTCCCGTTCAGGCAGCCATGCTGGTGAGACGTTATGGATGTAACTTCTGGCATCTCTAGGAGACAGTCTCACAGTAAACTCCCGGTTCCTCTGGCTCGTACCACCTTTCTTCCCTCTTCCACGATGATCCCTGAGCCTTAGGTGCAGGAATTGTGATGTGGATATATCCGTTGAGACTGGGCTCCACGTGGCATTTTTGATTGGCTGTGGTTTTCTGCAGTGGTCTCCATTTGTTTCAAAGAGAAGTTTCCTTGAGGGATGAGGACTGTCCTTATCTGTGGGTGTAAGGACAAATATTCAGAACATAGGTAGGGATCATGCTGGTTTACTAAAGTGGCAGTTGTCGGTTCTACAAGATCCAGGACTTCACTAGCTCTGGGTAGTCGACTAAGTTTCCAGTACCAGGCATGAGTTCCCTGTTGTTGAGAGGATCCTGAGTCCAGTTAGAGAGCTGCTGGTTACCGTCAAGGTATGCTGCACCCTCAGGGTTACCATGCCGTACTGCGCGTGCGCACACAGGCGCTCATCAGAGAACACCTTGCATGATTCAGTTCTTTGTTTCCACCTTGTGGATTCTACAGATAGAACTCAAGCCATCAGCAGCTGACAGCTTCACTTACAGAACCATCTTGTCAACCTGAAATTTTAGTTTTTAAAACTACTTTTGCTCTAAAGAAAGATCTGTTTCAAGAATCCCAGAGCATAACTGAACCAGTGTTGAATGTGCACCACAGCTTGGAGCACTGTGGAGCTAGCAGCAGAGGAACAGAGCCGAAGCCTTTAGTTTCTAGAAGAATCCAAGGATAGAAACAGTCGTTGGCTTTTCAGACCTCTTCTCTCAGCCATTTATTCATTTTATTGTCACTTCATTGCATGAAATTAATCTTTATCCTCTGGTAAGTCTTAAAATCCTTAAGTGTCCCATAGTAATTAAGAGAGTAGTTCAGGTGAGACACCAGCTTACAAAGAGCGTCTGGAGGGTTAGAGCCCGACAGTCAGTCTCACACAGTGTTCCAAAACAGCAGGTCTTACAAATTGCTCACGTGTCTCAGAGCAGTTTCTCAATGTGAACTTGACCTTTAATTGACCTTGTTTGTGAAATGGAGCAGGAGTCAGCAAACGATGGTCTGAGCCCGATGCAGCTGGTGACCAGTTTTGTCAAATAACATTTTATTGAAAGGCAGCTATGCCTGCTGATGCTGTGTGGGCTGCTGTTCAGCAGAGTCAAGTAAATTACAGATGCAGCAGATAAACACAAAGCCTCAAGCAGTGTCTGTTCAACCCTATACATAAGGCATTTGCCAACTCGTTAAAAAATGTTAGTGGGGAGCACATACTGGGTAGGTGAGAGAGAGAGAGAGAGAGAGAGAGAGAGAGAGAGAGAGAGAGAGAGAGAGACAGATAGACACAGAAAGACACAGAAAGACAGAGAGACAGAGGGCAATTTGTAGGAGTCAGATGTGGCGGCAGGTGCTTTTACCTGCTGAGCCGTCTTGTGGCTCATGGTTTACCAACTCTTAATGCACAGTGTCCATGTAAATGTGTACAGTAGTCCCTCACCCTGGTTGTGCAATGGAGTTAAGAGCCATTCTGGGGCAAGGTGGCAAGCATACTCTACCCCAGCTCTCCTGATGAATGGAGCTAAAGGCTAAGGATAGGATTCTCAGAGTAGCTCTGTAAAGTAAACGCTAGCTCAGAGTGATAGGACCTGAAGTCCCAGCAAGCTGGGGTGCCTTACTTTCACTTCTGATGGGGTGCTTGGTGGCCTGGGAAATGCAGCTGCAGACATTTGAAATGAGAGGAGACTTAGGCCGACAGGAAGGGGATTCCTCTGGGTGATTCTATCTTTTTCTCTTCTAACTCGTCCCAGACAATGGGCAGGCGGCACAGAGATGGCGGTTGACGGTACAGGTGCTTGAATGACTGGCCCTGCGTGGGGGAGTGTGGGTCGCTTTTCTCCTGCTGCCCGCCTGCCCAGCAGGCGGAGCCCAGCCCAGGAAATAACACTTTCCATCGAGTCTCAGATACAGTGTTTAGAATATCCTGGATTCCATCCTTAGTGACTTGGTGTATGAAGAGCCAAGAAAGACCTCAGGGGCTGTAAGGAGAAGCAGTCAACAGATGCTGGGTCTGGGGCCAGCTGGTGGCCAGCAGGACCTGAGTGACCCTGTGACCCACATGGCAGAGGGAGAGGTTCAGCCCCCACTAGTTGTCCTGTCGGAATTTCAGAACTCTCTAAACCAGCTGGTAAGACCTGGTCTGAAAAGCAGTGGACAGTCTCAAAGACACATAAACCAGCTAGTAAGACCTGGTCTGAAAAGCAGTGGACAGTCTCAAAGACACATAAACCAGCTAGTAAGACCTGGTCTGAAAAGCAGTGGACAGTCTCAAAGACACATAAACCAGCTAGTAAGACCTGGTCTGAAAAGCAGTGGACAGTCTCAAAGACACATAAACCAGCTAGTAAGACCTGGTCTGAAAAGCAGTGGACAGGCTCAAAGACACATAAACCAGCTAGTAAGACCTGGTCTGAAAAGCAGTGGACAGTCTCAAAGACACATAAACCAGCTAGTAAGACCTGGTCTGAAAAGCAGTGGACAGTCTCAAAGACACATAAACCAGCTAGTAAGACCTGGTCTGAAAAGCAGTGGACAGGCTCAAAGACACATAAACCAGCTAGTAAGACCTGGTCTGAAAAGCAGTGGACAGTCTCAAAGACACATAAACCAGCTAGTAAGACCTGGTCTGAAAAGCAGTGGACAGTCTCAAAGACACATAAACCAGCTAGTAAGACATAGTCTGAAAAGCAGTGGACAGTCTCAAAGACACATAAACCAGCTAGTAAGACCTGGTCTGAAAAGCAGTGGACAGTCTCAAAGACACATAAACCAGCTAGTAAGACCTGGTCTGAAAAGCAGTGGACAGTCTCAAAGACACATAAACCAGCTAGTAAGACCTGGTCTGAAAAGCAGTGGACAGTCTCAAAGACACATAAACCAGCTAGTAAGACCTGGTCTGAAAAGCAGTGGACAGTCTCAAAGACACATAAACCAGCTAGTAAGACATGGTCTGAAAAGCAGTGGACAGTCTCAAAGACACATAAACCAGCTGGTAAGACCTGGTCTGAAAAGCAGTGGACAGGCTCAAAGACACATAAACCAGCTAGTAAGTCCTGGTCTGAAAAGCAGTGGACAGTCTCAAAGACACATAAACCAGCTAGTAAGACCTGGTCTGAAAAGCAGTGGACAGTCTCAAAGACACATAAACCAGCTAGTAAGACCTGGTCTGAAAAGCAGTGGACAGTCTCAAAGACACATAAACCAGCTAGTAAGACCTGGTCTGAAAAGCAGTGGACAGTCTCAAAGACACATAAACCAGCTAGTAAGACCTGGTCTGAAAAGCAGTGGACAGGCTCAAAGACACATAAACCAGCTAGTAAGACCTGGTCTGAAAAGCAGTGGACAGTCTCAAAGACACATAAACCAGCTAGTAAGACCTGGTCTGAAAAGCAGTGGACAGTCTCAAAGACACATAAACCAGCTAGTAAGACATGGTCTGAAAAGCGGTGGACAGTCTCAAAGACACATAAACCAGCTAGTAAGACATGGTCTGAAAAGCGGTGGACAGTCTCAAAGACACATAAACCAGCTAGTAAGACATGGTCTGAAAAGCGGTGGACAGTCTCAAAGACACATAAACCAGCTAGTAAGACATGGTCTGAAAAGCGGTGGACAGTCTCAAAGACACATAAACCAGCTAGTAAGACATGGTCTGAAAAGCAGTGGACAGTCTCAAAGACACATAAACCAGCTAGTAAGACATGGTCTGAAAAGCGGTGGACAGTCTCAAAGACACATAAACCAGCTAGTAAGACATGGTCTGAAAAGCGGTGGACAGTCTCAAAGACACATAAACCAGCTAGTAAGACCTGGTCTGAAAAGCAGTGGACAGTCTCAAAGACACATAAACCAGCTAGTAAGACATGGTCTGAAAAGCGGTGGACAGTCTCAAAGACACATAAACCAGCTAGTAAGACCTGGTCTGAAAAGCAGTGGACAGTCTCAAAGACACATAAACCAGCTAGTAAGACCTGGTCTGAAAAGCAGTGGACAGTCTCAAAGACACATAAACCAGCTAGTAAGACCTGGTCTGAAAAGCGGTGGACAGTCTCAAAGACACATAAACCAGCTAGTAAGACCTGGTCTGAAAAGCAGTGGACAGTCTCAAAGACACATAAACCAGCTAGTAAGACATGGTCTGAAAAGCAGTGGACAGTCTCAAAGACACATAAACCAGCTAGTAAGACCTGGTCTGAAAAGCAGTGGACAGTCTCAAAGACACATAAACCAGCTAGTAAGACATGGTCTGAAAAGCGGTGGACAGT